GGCCGAAGGCCCGACCATCGCCGCCGGCAGGCCAAGCAGGCCCGGCCCCTGCCGAACGGAGCTGCCGGCGCAGCGAAGTGGAGCTGGCAACTGCGTTTGGCGGAAGGGCGGGCCTGCTTGTTTTGTTTTGTTTTATGAATATTTTTGGTCATTTCTTTCTTTCATCGGGACTGTTTTCTTTTATTCCTGTAAGTGTACTCTTTTTTATACTTTTGGCTGAGCGATAGCGAAGCCGTTTACCCCAGTGATCAAAACGGTCGGATCTGTATGTCTGCTTGTCTAATCACAATAACTCAAGAACGTATTGAGCTGGATAGGTAAAATTTTCAACAACAATGTTTCATAAAAAGCCAGAACCGTATTAATTTTGAGCTATCTTTAGCTTGAAAGTTGGCTGAAAACGGACAATTTGATAAGTACTCGAAAAATATCTCGATTTTTGGAATATTTTCTACGGTGTTCTAAAGGTGCCCCCGCAATGCCCCTTGTCCCGTGCGCCGTGTGCCCTCCCGTAGTGATGTGGTTCCAATTGACGTATTTCAACTATTTTAACATAAAAATAGGTAAACAACGGGTGCTGACCCTACAGTCACATGGTGCATGGGTCGGGCGCACCGCATTATGGCGAAAGTAGATTCTCACGGCTCAAAATTTCGTCTCCGACCGTTTGGGCGCTGGAGAGAGTTTCTCACACGGAAATGACACAAATTGAAAACTATTAAATGTTTCCCCTCTGCCTCTGATATTTAAAGGCCTCAGTTAACTCGGGAAAATAAAACCCAGTGGACGAAACTTTTTGACTTTTGAGGTCGAAGACGTCTTAAAATGACACTGCCTTTTTTACGCAAGACGTGGTGCGGCGTGCGTCTACCTGGTTTTAGGTAAGGGGTTACTAGGTAGATGTACGCCACACCACGTCTCGCGTAACAGGCTTCGCGATATCTCACGAAACCCCGTTGCGCTGCGACGCACCTGGCATACATCTACCAAGGCCTGCGGCGCTGACACCCGAGTCGGGTAGCGCATGAACGTTCACAGCTCAATTCGTTCTCGAGTTATCGTGATGACAGACAAACCGACAGACACACAGACAGACGCGAAACTTTTTGATTGTCACTGGAGTAATAGGCTTCGCTGATGGCTCAGCCAATTATATATTTTTCCCAGTGACTGTCAAAATTCTTTCAGAACCACCCAGCTGAATAGGAAACTGACAGGGACTTCCAGGTTCGTAGAAAATAAAGATTAACTTTAAGGTAGCAGCAGGTACGTGTGAACATGGCTATTTACCAACTATCTCCGCAGTTGCGTTTCTGGAGTACTCCCAGAGTAGTTGCCGATACGGTGTGCTAATTTCGTGAAACGCCCCACAACGTTTTGCAAAATTACTTCTTACCTTTTCTAGTATTAACTTTACATTTTTACTTTTTTTGTGCTGATCAGGGCCCGCTTGTTGCTGTTGTGATGGTGCTGATGTTCCTCGTGACAGGTCGCGAGATCGTACCTTACTATCCAGAGGTTGATAATCCATGGTTGAAATTCTTCATTGTGTTATTTCACTCTAGCTGTGTCTTTCACTCGGCCGCCGTGTTTCTGGTATGTAATCGGCAGAGCCATTAATGGACTCGTAAAGCATTCCGGTAAAGTTAATATGCATAGGAATGCATGGAACAAGAAAACGGAAGTGACCATGTTAAAGCATAGCGCTTTCCGCCTTTTCCTTTCCGGCGCATTCTTCTGCATTTCAAGTTTGCCGGAATGCTTTATTCTACCTAGCTCCGAAAAGACGAACGGGGAACAAGGAAACCTAATACCAAACAGGTGTTGGTTTGTAGATAAGATAGTACCCTAGTTATTACATCTGGGCTTATTTCTAGAAATTTAAGAATCAATGGCATTCCAAAAATTACCTAAATTTATTGTCGTACAACAGCTTTTAGTTGCTCCTAAAAGAGCAAAATAGACCATTCCACCGAATGGGGAAGAAGAAAGAAAAGTATCAAAAAGTAACGGAAACAGTACCAAAAAAAAACTGTATGTAGATCATTTTTGTACACCTCTGGGGCACACCAACAAGTAAGTCCACAATAATTATCTTGGTCAAGAAAACTAGAAAAAGTGAACGATTTGATTTGTTAATCATAATAATTATGTTGGTCAAGAAAACTAGAAAAAGTGAACGATTTCATTTGTTAATCAGTACTGTTTCCGGTTCTTTTTGATTCTTTTCTTCCTTCTTCCACAGTCGGTGGAATGGTCTATTTTCCAGTTGTCTCCCTTTTCCACTTTCTGTACCTGTTGTTGTGTCACTGACTTTGGTGTAATCGAAACGATACCGATATGGAAATCACCAATGTAAAGAGCGTGAAAAATCGATAATAGCGGAGAAAACTAAAGTAAAAATTACGCGAAATGAATTCAAATGCGGGAGTGACTCCTCTTTGGACCCAAGCCACTTAAGTTGCGTGGGGGTGCTTTCGTGTCTGCAATGTTGAAGCGATACGCTTTTTGTTGGATTTACGGTACAAACCGGTAAAAAACAATGTCTGATTTTCAGATGACCTTCATAAATTTGATAAACTTATGTATTTGAGGGAGACCTCTCAGACTAAAATAATTGCAAAAGAAGAGGAAATTTTCGTCATTTTTGATATTTTGTCAAAATATATGTAGCCCCCCCCCCTTAATATTTTATACTTTACCGCGGTTGTACACGCGACAGTTCACAGCATGCTTTTGCACACTTCATTGTTTTCCCTTCTTTCCTCAAAAAAACAAAACAAACAGACACTGTTTTTATCGCGTTCGGCTGTTTTTCGCGCAGATTCTCAGTAGCTTGCACTGGATGGCTCTGATGTGTGTTGACTGCGCAACCCATCTGCTCATTGACCGAGTGAACGATGTGAGATCTTGGAGGCAGCTCTTGGAGTTGGTTGGGCTCCACCAACAGCTCGTCTTCGGACTCCAACGGGTTCAGGTAGGGTAGTCACTTGTGGGCTCACAGCGCCACACCTGAGCTTACATGTACGTAAAGACACTGTAAAAAATGTTGGGAATTCTACTATACGCATGTATAGGAAATTTCCTATACATCGTATCGGAAGTGAAAATTCCTATAAATGTATAGGAATTTTCCCATTTGGGAAGATGTGTATGGGAAAAGTACCAACTGTATAGGCAAATCCCCAGAAATGTATGGGAAAATTCCGATACGTGTCTGGTAGGCATATTTTCCTGATTATGTATAGGAAATTTACTAGAAGATGACAATTTTCCTATACAATGTTTGGAATTTAAAAAACGGGTAAAGATATGCACACCTTTCCACCTTTCACATCTTGGTCGGCGCGGTCATAATATGAGCTATTTCTGACGCCACACCGAGGTTTGGACACATTTAGAGTCTATTTAGCAGTTTAAACTCTGATAATCGAATTTCAACTCAGGGCAGGCAGTAAAATTTAAAAGTCAACATCAAAACATCTACGAGTAAATCCCCAAAGCCGTGGGCTAGCCCCGGCACCGCACCGACACCTGGCTGACCCTCTGGGATGGCCCAGCGAGGGGCGGCGCGCGGCTCTGGGATGACCCAGGCTTGGTGGGGCACGCCTCCCAACAAGTCTCCGTGGTCTAGTGGTCAGCGTGACGGGATCGCAAGCCAGAAGTCCGAGGTTCAACTCTCCATCCGGTAAGGTATTTCATAATTGTATCAATGCTCACTTAAATGAAATGAAATTACCGAAAGGCGGCAGGAAGGCGGCTAGGAACGAGGGAAAACGGCGGGGAAGTGGTTGAAAAAAAACTTTTTCTCTTTTGAAAGAGCATCGGGTGTATAGGAAAATTCCTATACATGTGTAGGGATAATGCCACACACACATAGTACATATCCTACATAGGTGTATAGGAAAATTCCTATACTTGCATGGTAAGAATACTAACGCGTATGGTACAATTACCACACGCCTGTATGGGAAAATTCCTATACATGTATATGTGAATTGCTGCAGATACATTTATAGGAAATCTACTATAGAATTTTTTTACAGTGGACGCTAAACATGAACTTTTTTATGGAAAAGCCTACACTTAGTTACTTTCATTGGTTGAAGGCATGCTTTGCTGAGGACTTGTCCCTGGTCGTGCGCCTGATGCTGATTCTGGGGGTGATTGGCGCTGTCCGCATGTCCCTCGGAATAAGGGACGTGAGCAACACGACCGTTTGGTTGACCATCTTTGCGTACATCACAATGGTGTGCGTGGCGGCTCAGATGCAGGAGAACGCTGGAGAGGAGTTCCACTTCGCCATCCGATCATCGTGCCCTTGGGAGGCGTGGGGCACGAAGGAACGACACCTCTTCAGCCTTCTCGTTATGTTCACTCGTCAGCCACCCGAGGTAACTGTTTTGTTGAGCAGCGAGCTCAATATCCAGCAATGTCGTTTAAGGAACTGTTCTGTAAATTGGTTGGTTTCGTACGTTATTAGTTCTCTAAGGGACGCCAAATCTTGGCGTTTAAATACGCTCTTATTTGGCGTTCTGAGAAGAAGAACGCACCAACTTGTTGACAATGTATGGCCTAAATCCCAAATCACAGTACGCATGTGCTCTTTTTGCAGACGACTTAACCCGGTCTATTATTACATTTGGATACATCTGATTTACAGGTTCGCTTCCTATATTTTGGTGCCTTGCGGCTGAGTACCCTTTCCAACATCTTTAACGCGGTCTTCAAGTACACACAAGTTCTTCGTGCTAGTATAGGGGACACGGCAGGCATGGCGTCAGGGCCCAGTTAGGACAACGGCAGTTGTGAAGAATGCGGTAGAAATGCCTACGCCTCTTTTTCGACCAGTGTATTTTCTACTTTCGCTTCAAAGTATAATCTCACAAGTATGCAATATAGTATATACGAAGAAAAAAATTCCACCCTTCCTTGATAACGTGTATGTACTCTGAAAAGTTAGCCTTTGACGACTAATCCGACGTATTTCAATCCCTACGTTCTTGTTAAACAGTGCATCTCTCTGAGTCGCGCCGTATGGTTTAGCTCGTCTCCCACTGTTTAAAAATTGTCAGGATTTCACGGAGCACTTGTCGTGGAAAGAATTGCCAAATCCCTTCGGGATATTACGAAAAGTGGTTCAAAAGATCTTAGGGAAACTATGGCGGAGTGTATTAAATTTGAAACTCCTGTTCAGAGTACGCCCATCATTTTGCAGATTGTGTTTTTTTTCTACTGAAAGGAAATGTACAGCTACCAAATAGCACAACAGTCAAGGTCAGGCGCGGAATTGAATGCATTGCGTGCTAGACAGGAAACCTCTGTGTAATGAATTGCCGAGGGATAGGAGGCCTTTGTTTCGCTGGCCCAAAAAGTTTTCAATGTTTGTTTGAATGCCCGAGAGCTCCAAAATAAATTGTGTTAGCGATCTTAAATATTTCAGGGGTCGCAAATAATTTATAGTTTCGATTTCGAAAGACATACCAAACATCGTGCACTAAGAGAACGATTACTCGATTTATGGGTTTGCCGATCCACCTACTGTCTTAAGGGGGTGGCGTGGGGGAGGAATCGATTTTTCCCATTGGTAGAGACAGTCTTGGCGACTGTGTAGAAATAGTCGAAGCGGTTCGACCTGGAATACCAAAACAAAACTGCAAAATGTATATAAAGCGTGTTTTTCTTTTTACACGTTCCCTAGACCCAGTTGGTCGATTTGACCCGCCAGTCGCCAAAATCAGACCCATAGAGGCCGAGATTTTAACGCATTTGTTCAAAATTTAACCATTAATGACGAAAATTTCAAAAGAGACGCCATCTGGGACACGTTTCGAAGTAATTTCTGCGAGAGAAAGCGAATGAAACAACATCCAAGTACGTACGACCTTCCACTTAGGCCCTAGACACCGCCATTTCGGAAAATTAGGGCCTAAATCGCAAAATTCTATACGTTCACTGTTGTGGCCCGTGTTGAGTGTCGTTTCAGCATGTTATTGTGTCTCTGACGCCGAATATGAGGTTAAATGGACTGAAATGCCACTAAGGGTTCATTTTAACATTCGGTCCGTATACTATGGGTGCTAAAGGCCTAAATTGGTGTCATTTTACATAATCCGACGTCTGGGTATTACCCCTTCTATACAAAATACGAGAAAGCTATCACTGAAAATGTCAGAGTCAAATATCTCGCTCTCAGGAGGCGAGATTTTTTGTGTCACTGATCTCGCTCTCCTGAGAGAAAGATACACTTTAATTTTTGGTCTTTAATTTTTGTTGTATACATTTTTCTGTTAAGTGAAAAGGTAATCCCCAGGGATCGACAATGCGAATGATAGAAGTGCTATTCATTGTTGGCTTGGCAGCATTTTGCCGATTTTTGTGGTAATTTCGCTGTTTAACTTTAATTTCCTTGAAATTGGCCAGACAGATTTTAATGAGGATTCGGGGAGAGTTACTATTTTCACCTTCCGTTATCATTTTTCTTCCTTCCTCTTGGTCATGTATTGGAAAACGATACTCAAGTCATGGGAAAGAAGAACTCAGGTAATTGGTTGTGCTTGAGCTTACGTCAGTGTGCTTTATATCTCATATTGTTGGCTATTTCTACAAACTCTATAACATAATTCGTTATAATGACCAAGAGTTTCCACGAGCCATGGCCTCATTCCCTGTTGATTCGTTTTTTGGATTCGCTGCAGTACTGATGATTACGATGCGTTTGCTTTTTTCTTCATTGCGAACATGTTACTAATTACATCGACACCAGGTTTGTTATCCTTTGCATACCCAGGAAGTTGCTCACATTGCTTAAACCACTGTGACACGTTTTGTGGCACGTTCAGTGTTGGCTCCAACGCCTAGAAACAGAAAGAGAAAAAAAAGCACTTTACTTACAGGGACAAAACTGCGGAAAACGCTGGAACAGATATGGCACTTAAGGTCAGGTACCTAACCAATCATGTGATATTTTGGACTGATTTTTTTTTTGAACCCTCGTACACACAACAGTGTACTCGAAAAGTTCACTTTATGAAACCGTTTCCAAGATATTTGCTTTGGGCTTTTGCTCTATGGAAGCCACTGCGGCCTGCCTGTCGAGCCTGTTACTTCACAATACGAGAGGAGTGAAAACCTATTCACAGATTTTTCTTACAATTTGGCGTCGATAGCATATAAGAAAAATGGGTGCCTTTCATAAGATATGAAACATACAGACTAAACTACGCAGCAACGGGTGCTTCGGGGACTCACGCATTTTACGCATACTTCCAATTTATTTTCAGTTTAGTCCGTTTTTGCTACGCAATACTTTACTTTTTCAACGCACTGACTGTTAGGTTAGTTATGCATACACACGAGCGCAAGTGTCTACTTGGAACTTTCTCTTTTTAATTTTTTAAGCGCTGATATACCTTAATTAGAATTGGTCTGTATTGATTATAAAACCTCAAATACGTCAAGCAAGCAGAAATCCTATCATTGGATAATCTTCAGGGTACGTTATGACGATTTTGAACTCTTACCAGTATAGTCGAGACGGTTGCGCACGTGCAAATGTCAGCAATTGTTCGGCTGTTGCCCACCAACCAACCCTTTTCTTGGATCAGCTTCCCGAGGATGTCGAGCGTGTCTTCTACCGCCTTTCGCTGTTTGGCTGGTACTTCTGCATGGCCCTCGGCAAAGATGGGAGTCTGCCGGAAAAAAAATAGATCAGTGCAATAGCAGCAGCTAATATATGTCCCATTCTTATTTATAATGTAAAGTTGCGCTCCGTGTGGCTCCGTGTGTACCTAACCTACACGCTTAATGTCGCTGAATGTATTTGTACATTTTTGTGTAAATGTTCGCGATAACTTAAACATACCTTTCGTTTTGAATGAATTTGTGTGCGAAAATGCATACTTCTGCTTTAATCATGGCTGTTTCAGTCCAACTAGCCCCAGGACCCCCAGGAAATTTATTTAACTGTGTGTCACCCGCACGGCACCATGGCTACAAGGATGCAAGCCTGCAACACTTTTGTGTGTAGCCTTGTTATAACCCTTTTTGAAGTTGAAGTTGAACTTGACCGTAGAAGTACATGATAAACTCATACGAGGTGTGCCATTACCGTCAGTGTTTTAAATGCTGCATAGAGTGTGGCATCATCGAAAAAAAGGCGCTGATGTAACGCCGCTCTCGTCTGCAAGTCGTTTGGATACAACTGGTTGTCACCAGCCTTTTCTGCTAAATACATGGCAATGGCATGACTGTAAGAAAAGTTATAAAACAAATAAAATGCGTCCGATTTTCCGAGCAAATGCCAAACACACGTATAATCATCAAAAGTTGAAGTTTTTTTATACCTGTTCCCTATAAAGAAGTCTCCATCTTGTAGAACAGGTACAGTGTGCGTAGGATTCATCTGCAACAGGTGATAGATGTATAAACACATTATGTAGTATTTACGGCACAATCCAACAAACAGAAGAAAACAGAACACTGTAAAAAATGTTGGGAATTCTACTACACGCATGTTTAGGAAATTTCCTATACACCGTATCGGAAGTGAAAATTCCTGTAAATGTATAGGAATTTTCTCATTTGGGAAGATGTGTATGGGCAAATCTCCAGAAATGAATGGGAAAATTCCGATACGTGTCTGGTAGGCATTTTCCTCAATATGTATAGGAAATTTACTAGATGATGACAATTGTCCCATACAATGTTTGGAATTTAAAGAACGGGTAAAGATATGCACATCTTTCTACTTTTCATATCTTGGTCTGCGCGGTCATTTTATGGGCTTATTTCTGACGTCTGACACCACACCACACAGGGTTGGACACATTTAGAGTCTATATTGGTCTATTAGCAGTTTAAACTCTGGCAATCGGATTTCAAGTAAGGGCAGGAAGTAAAATTCAAAACTCGACATCAAAACATCTAGGAGTAAATCCCCAAAGGCGTGGGCTAGCCCCGGCACCGCGCCGACACCTGGCTGACCCTCTGGGAATGGCCCAGTGAGGGGCGGCGCGCGGCTCTGGAATGACCCGGGTTTGGTTGGGCACGCCTCCCAACAAGTCTCCGTGGTCTAGTGGTCAGCGTGACGGGGTCGCAATCTAGAAGTCCGAGGTTCGACCCTTCCATCCGGTAAGGTATTACATAATTACATAAATGCTCACTCACTCCCGGGTGGAAGAATTAGTAGTTCGAACTATATGCGACTTCAGTAGTTAAACTTCGTTGGAATCTGAAGTTTGGACGCATTTTATTTCTAAACAAACTTTACTGCAGTTGTGAACGTTGTGCATTTCAAACTGTGGTCAAAACTCGTGAAGGATTCTAGTCAAAATGCAGTTGCTCGACACAGTTCAACTACAGTTTAAACACAGTTAAACACAATTAAACTGCAGTCTAACTGTAGTTCACTGCAGACAAACTGCAGTTTAACTATACCAATTTCGACAACACCTTAGTTCGCCCACAGTTTGGCGTAGTTTCAACTGTACTCTGTCTCCAGATAAAACTGAAGTTCAGTTACAAATGTTCTTCGGATCCGACTATATATAAACTTCAGTGGTAAATGCAAACAAAATGCACTGTTCAAGATTTGGTTCAAAACATTTTTTTTCCCCCTCTGACCCTTTCCTTTATCTAGTTTTTATCTCGTATTACCTCACATTACAAGTTATATGATAAAGTGCACAGTACCTTTTGAACGCTGGATCTGCGAAGCTGGATGCAGACGGGAGTTGAACCTCGGACCTTGGAGCTGGGAGCCTCGCACGCTGACCACTAAGCCAGCGCGACACCATAGCTCTGGTGCCGCAGGAACTTAATGTCATGCGGAGAGCCCCAGCCCAGGGGCCGGATGGTTTCAGTACAGTTTGACTACAGTTTGACTACAGTTAAAATTCAGTGTTTCTATAATGCGGTGCGGTGGCTGTTAATATACCGTCCCGGTAAAGAAGAAACGGGGAAGAATGCAAGCATGTTGGAAGAAAACGGTAATAACCTAGTGACAGGAAAGTTCACTTCGATTTAAAGAAGTGAAAATTCGAGGGAAAACTTATTTGCGTCAAACCACGACGTGGGTTATCATACAAATAAAAATACAAATAATTATTTACACTGTGGCCCGAGCTGTGGCCGCAGGGGCTGGGGCAAAAGCAAAGGGACGTTCGTACGTACAAGAATGAATATAATTGATGTGTAAAACGATTACACTCAAAATCTGTCATCCTCCCAACTGACAGGAATGTAGTGCCCACCATATTATTTGTGTAAGTTGAACTAAAGTTTCAACAACAAAATAAAACTATATATGTGACCATAGTAAGGACTCTCCCTAAAGTGCATTCTAACTAAGGCTTGCCTTGCAAGCACAAGTACTCATGTAACAGTAGTGCGTAAGAATAGTATAACTCGGTATCAGGCACAGTTAAAACTGCAGTAAACATTGAACCTATCTTCTAGTATCGAAACTCCAGGTCAACTGGAGAGCAACTACAGTTTAGAGTACAGAATGGTCTCTCTTTCAGACTATGCTTTTTACTTCGTTTGTGAATAGTAATGGAGAACACTTTTAGTACATTTCCGAGAGTAGAGCCGGAGTGCAGTTCATTAGCTATAGTTCCGACTGTAGTTCAACTACTTATTCTTCCACCCGGGCTTAAATGAAACAACCTAAAGGCGGTAGGAAAGGTGACAAGGAACGGGGGCAAACGATTCGTTCGTTCTGTATAAGTGCTCGTCCTCGAAGTGACTGCTGCGCCTGGCTGAAGAGGTGTTTCTGGGGCATTCTCTCTTAGCCGTTGAAAAGAGCGTTGGTATAAGGAGCAGAAGGCCGCACGGTAAAAATTATGTCTGTTAATTCAAGTAGATTGCTTGAAATCCAAGTAGTTTTTACTTAAATTTCAAGGAATATTC